GGTCTTGTAGATTATACAAGGTCTAGAATCACTTTTTGTCTCCTGAAGTGACTTATTCCTTAAGCACACCAGAAGATTATCTCCAACACAGTTCTATTCTGCCTTAGACATGATCTTCCTAACCATTAGTGGCATTTCAGTGATCTCCAGTAGTCTCCTTTTCTCACTTTTCCTTCCTGTCTCAGATCACATTTGAAGCTATTCAGGGTGTCTCCATCGTTTTTTTTTTTCCCCTTTCTTCTTCTTCTTATCTCTGCATTTGCCCATTCTGAAGCCTGGTAAGGCCTTAGTCCTGGCTAGAAACACCAGGTATATTAATGACTAATGAAAAAGTGAGTGAGACAAGAAAGGAAAGGGTAGTAGGAACAGTGAGGATAAGAAAGATGGAGACAGGGAGAAATCAGCTGTCTCTGCTTCCTACTCTTCTTTCCCAGGTGACCCTTCTACCTGCTCTAAATTAATATCAAAGCCAGAGGGAGCAGAAAAAGGTTGGTGGGGGAGAAAATGACAACCCTAGGAAAAAAAAAATCATGATGCAGAAAAGCGTCTGTCCCCTGTCTAATTCCTGCCGTGGCCTGTAGCTGATGGTGCTGGGAAAAATACAACAGCAAGCTCTGACATTTCATTTCTGCAGAGAATTGAAAAAGGGCTTGCTGTAATTCATCGCTTCTTGTAACTCAAACCCTTTTTGCCAGGAGTACCTGAGCTGTCTTTTAACAGTGGCACCATGGTGGCTGTAATTGGACATGAGAAATTATGTCGTGTTCTACTTGCAGGGAGGATTGGAGTGTGGGTAGGTGGGGCAAGCGGCAAGCTGGTGTGAGAGGATGACACCTGGCATTATCTGAATGGGTTGGTTTTAGGCAAAAGGAAGGAAAAGCCAAAATGAAAGGTATGAACTGTAGCAAGTACGATCATCTTGTCCAAGGTGTGCAAAGGTGATAGTAAAGGTGGTTTTCAGCAGAAATGAATGTACAAAGGATCAAAAGAAAATGAGAAGTGTGATGCACCTGAAGTTCTAACTCCTCCATCAACCCAAGCACTTATGGCATTTGTGGAAAAAGGACGTGCAACCCCTCTTCCTGAAATGGGGCTGATTCACATCTGCAGTGGCACCCAGAGCCCATATTTTCCAATACAGACAGGGAATCTGAGACACAGGCTTTGCCTGAGGCCACACTGGCAGCACAGTTGTGAATAAAACTCTGATTTGCCATCCGCTTGCCACCCCTTTGAAAACTGGGTCTGTCATATGTAACCAGAATCCCAGATTAAATTTTTTTGGCTCTTGCCTTAATCCCTTTGTGCCTCAGTGGTCCCTCAGCACACCTGTGTTATGACATTGCTGTTGAGCGAGGCACTTCAAAGTAAATTTGTGGCCAAATTGGACTCTGAATCATGAATGAGGATAAACATATTGTCCTGATGTATAATGGTTTTATGACTATTAGGCACGCTGGTACCATAATGTCAGGAATCTTCACAGTTTATATAGCAAATAAAAATTTTTAGTCAGGTCCTATCCAATAGGGGCGAGGCTAAAGAGGAGATAAACTCTTCTGGGTTAACTAATGGTAAAACAGTATACTTCTTTCACAGTGGCAGCCCAATAGGGATAATATAGAATAAGGAACCATGATTATATTTCAAAGGAGAGCACAACGAGAATCCATGGGCAGAGGAAAGAAGGACCATTGCAATGGATAGAAGGGTAGCTCATCCTAGTGGAGAGCCTAACAGAGTTCATCCAGTCCATCTGTCAGTTGAAATGCTGGATCAGCCAACCTAGGTCTTTTCTATGTTGCCAGATCTCTTTTGAAGACTTCTAGTGATAGGGATCAATAAAACCTCACAGCCACATCTGTAGTTCCTATGATCCTATGTGGATACCCATGGTATTAACCAGTTTTGCTGACCGGCAAATCTTCTTTCTCCTAGCACACTCTCAGGGTCCACCAAGACAAGACAGATATTAAAGATATCCATATCAATATTCCCCCAACTACTATTCAGAATACTGTAGTTTGGAGTATAAACTTTGGTTTCTTTGCATCAAACCCATTTTATTTCCCCACTTAGCCCTTTTCTGCTCCCTATGCCAGCTCCTTGCTCCCAGAGTGTCTGTGTAAAAAAAAAAAAAAAAAAGTTCCATAGATGGAGAGAGGAAACTTAATTATTTTCCTCTCAGTGTTTCTCCCTATAATTGGTGTCTTTCATGTCAAGATGATCTCAATTTGTATTATGGGCTCCGTGCAGGCAGCACTTTCTCTTTGGTCTATAAAGAAATTGTTAAGTGTATAAAACATAATGTACATTCAATTACACTAGCCTTTTACTTATTAATTTCCCCAGTTTTATCTTCCTCTGTTAGATGCTCATTCCCTCCCTATTTTTTTCCCTTTCTTGGTGATTGTCTTCTTTTTCCCATGCCCCAATCTCAAAAAAAACCCCAAAACAAACAAATCCAAAACCAAACAAATAGTATTGTCCTCTCATTTTTGCTAAAGGGTCTGATGATCTCCTCTGCCTTGTGCCAGCTGACCACATCCAACTCAACAGGTAGGAAGAACTCTGTCTAGTTTTTCTAAAGGTTGGATCCAAAGCTTGCTCAAGTTCAGTGGGGATTTTCATGGCCTTTAGCAGGCTTCAGATCAGCATCTACCTTGGTAGATTTATGGAATGTTCTGCACTGCAAGGCTGTGTCCATTTGGGACTCCAGACATTGCCTCTCAGGGCTGTATGCAGCACACCACCTATAAATTCCAGTCTACTGTGACTATTTCTCTTACTGACTGCTTGGGATGCAGGTTCTGGCTGTCTTGGAGTGAGCACCAGGGACTGCTGACCACCCTCCTCTGACCATTGGAGTTAGATTAACCATTGTGTCCATGTTAGGAACCCATAACATATAGTGTGAGTGCAGCTATCAAAAGTTAACAGCTCTCAAGTGAGACCTTGGTACGTGGATGGTGTCAACACCAACCTGCTGTAAACGCAAACCAATTGCAGTGGTTGAGCAGCTGGGGGAAGCTAAAGCACAGTAACTGGATAGTTTGGCTTCGTTATCCTGCACATGAGAACCAAGATGGGGTTCATCTCACCTAACTGTAACTGCATAGACTACCTTTACGATCAGTGGAGAGGAACAGGCACTGCAGAAGACCACTCATTCTTTTCTTCTCAGACACCAATCTTAAGAGTGGCTTATAATTACACTTTTTAGACATTTGGAGTTACATGACATGAATTACCCTCCTCACCTCTGTGATGTGAGATCTTTAAATGTCTGTAACAGCTAGCTGCTCACATGTGGTTACAGAAGCCCTGTGGCAGGATGTCCACCCTGCTTGCTGCTAAATACATCGCCTCTGGCCCTGCTAATATCTTGTGATATGTGTATCAGCGACAGGTCTTGTCTTTACAGTTGCAGAAGCAGAGGCTGATACAAGGTTTATCCGGTACCAAATTCTTTGTTGGTTTTAGCATTTCAACTGCCTGGAGTTTGTTGGATGATACAGGCATACAGGAGAGCAGAAATTGCTCAGTAGCGTCTGGAGCCATTGATCCTTCTCTTCCTGAGTGCGAGTCTAACTGTAGTCAGTTTATGGCTAAGTACATTTTCCTCTTGAGACAACAATGCAGCAGGATCTGCTAGGCTCTCCATCATCTTAACCTACTTGTCAGCCAGCTTGAGAACTTTTTATTACTAAATATGTGTGCAGAGCAATTAGAATAAATCTAAATTATTATGAACTACTTTCAAAAAAAAGGGAAATTAGGAAAAAAAGAAAAAAGAAAACTAACAGCCTTGCTGCCCAACTGTGATTAGCCACAAATAAGGGAGGGACAGTGTCACCTGAAGGCACCTTGTGACACTCATCAGACAATTTGTGGCCTGACTTTATTGGGAAGCAATATGTTGGGAGATTCCCATTGCCTTCTGACTTCCTGCTCCTTGTGATGCCTGTTTGAACTTGCACTTTCTTTGGTTGCCAAATCTAAAGGATAATTTCATTCCACTCGGGGGTGGTCACACACAGAAAGATATTTTGAATAGTTCATCTACATAGTGTATGGATTGCTTTAAGTGACATGGAGGAAAAGGCAGGGAAGGGCTTTCAGATTAAAATCTCAGCTGGTTCTGCTCCAATCTGCATCTCCAGCTATTAACAGGAGGGGTGTATCCTCACCTCTGTTCATCAGACATCCACATCCTGTTAGGCACTACCAGTGAAGATGATCATGGACATCTGTTGCCCTCTCTCCTGGGAGTGAGCAGCTCTGGGGATAATGATGGTTCCCCAATGCTTTTGTTGAGAGAGAGGGATGAGTTGGAGAACAGAAAACCTATTCACAGCACCGTGACAAGGTTTTTATTCTTGCTTATATTCTGATGTGAGAAAGGAAAAAAAGTGTTTGAAAAAGCAATAGAGGGAGATGTTTTAACTCATATCCTATCCCCTCCTGACAAAAAAATCCTCAATAGCCAGCACTCCTGCAGCATGTGGACAAACCAGATCCAAATCCCATTCCCCATGTATGAAATGGAGTCTGCTATGTTACAGGTGACTGTTCTACTGAGCTAACAGTGCAGGTGGAATTCAATTTTTCATTTTCTTTTCATCATGCCAATCTCAAGAAATCTTTGCAATTAAAGTTTCACTGATCCTGATGTTCTGACAAAGCATTTCTGCTCTGACACAGTAGTGTTTCCACAGGAAACTATTAGTAATTTAAAAAGTTATGTTTAAAATTTCATGACCTGTGTGATTCAACAGAGGCCCTGTCAAGTAGATGGGGTGACACTGATTTACCTCGGACCAAGAAGCAGCCTGTACTCTGTGGTTACTTCTTTGCTTACAAATTGCTTCCCCCCCCCCACCTCCTGGAGTAAATTCTGGTGCTAACTATGATGCATGGTAAAAAACCAAAGCAAGCCTCTGTATATGAATGTTTGATTCCCCCATTAATTATGTGTCTCTCTTTGCTTTTTCTTACAGATGAACAGACCGATCCAGGTGAAACCAGCGGACAGCGAAAGCCGAGGAGGTAGTTGACTGCATTGCTTTCAGCCACAGTGCTAAGTATAATTGTTGTCTCTGGCTTCTCTCAGGCAATGTGCTGATCAATTAGTAACGTAATCACTGCCAAAGAAATTCCCTCTGCAGCAAAGATTCTCTTTATTAAATCTCCTTTACTTCGTCTCGCTTTCCTCATATTCAATTATTATTTGATTTTAAAAGGCAGGCAGGTGCCAGCGATTGCCTGGGAAACAAATAACTGCCTCGTTAAGAAATGAAGCATCAGGCGCTGACTTAACCAAGTTTAACAGTGGTGACGGCAATGTAGGTTTTTCAGACCTATGTTGGGCTGAGCTGCAGAGGTGTTTAATTTTGTTGGGATAAAACAGATATTTTATGGTTTCTCTGACCATGTTGTTTCTGCTTGGACTGAAGCAACTCTGCTTATGGAAAAAGCAAATTCTGAGGTAGCAGAGTTTTCTGCACCTGTATCAGCTTATCTGGATAAACCTGTTGTGGAAACTGAAGACTTCTCTCAGTCCCAGGGAGTTATTCAGGATTTGCACAGGTGTAGTTGAAATCAGGAGCTGGTCTTTTGCTTTTCCATCCTGCACAGTGGATTTGGAAGGCTTTGCTAAGTGACCGTTCAATAGATTACCAGTGATAAGGTGTTTCCTGTAAAAGGTTTTCTACCAGAACTGATGTAGTGATACTTCACCGTACTCTTCTAATAGGGGCCTGTTTGTCACATCAAACAGAGCTCACTGAGAAAATGTGAGATGGTCCGTTATGCTGGATAAATTACCATTCTGCTTTTTTTCCTTACATCTGTACATTTATATATATACACACACATATATATAATGACATGGTGTTTCCTTCCTCTCTATCCCTATCTCTTTGTGGAAAAAAAGGAGAGGCTTTTGCAGTAAAAACACTAGTGCTTATGTATCATATAAATGTGGGAGTAGATTCTGTCATTTAGTAATGGTGTGGCTCAGATGTGTGAAAACTCTTTAATTTCCACCATGGACGTAAGCTCTTCCTCATTTATGGGACGACTTATCTTTGTGCTGGCATTAGTGGAAATCCCCGGCAACAACTACTTAAAAGGAGTAAAATGCCTCACAGACAAAAGGCACTGAAATTGTGTTCTTTTTTCAGTTGAAAGCTTTGGATTCCAGAGGCTTTGACTGCGTCAGTGTGAGGCTGAAACTCTCCAGTGACTCAAGTCATTGGAAGACTTTGTACGTAGCTTGTAGTTAAAGGGCTGGTGTAACGGAGTGGTGAAACCGGCAGGTCGACAGAGGCTCTGTAAGGAAGGGCTGTGGTGCCGTGTAACTGTAGAGCAGGAGAAGAGCTGAGTGCTGGAAAAATGCCAGAAAGCGCAGGGATAAATATTGCACTTTCAGAGGCCCCTGTAAAGTAAATTTGGGGGAATTTGGCCAACACTGGACAGAAAGTATTTGATGGGCTCTGCGATGGCAAGTTCTGCTATCAAGGGCCATGGTACATTTCTAACATGCAACAAAGGCATGTCACATCGTATGGCATCGTCTGGTGGTTTTTAACAGAACCCAGTCAATTTACCCACTTTCCCTTCCTGTCTGATGATCTGACTCCGTGTCTGAGTAGGAGTGGGTAAGCAAGCCATGGGCGGTTGTCAACGCCGATCTCCTAGGGGAAAAGGGAAAGGCTCAGCTGCCTGGGCAAATGAAGGGACATTATGCACATTCCAGTGGAGTTCATGCCGACAGCGAGAGTGAAGGGAGGGCCTTTTGTCTATTTAATTAGACATACCAAAAAATAATAATTAGGCTGGCCAATTTGCTTAGTATGCCTACAGGGTATGTAGCTCCCAATCACTTTTTTTTTTTTTTTTAAATGCAAATCACTAATAGAGAACACATGTCTGGCTTTCTGGGAAGGGTTTTCAAACTCTGCTAAGAGAAGCTGCTTTCAGGAGGGATGGTTTGAACTGCAAAGAGCTCTGGTGGCAGTTTGATTCCACATGATCTGTCACACCAGTGGTTCCCTCCCCATTGTATTTTAGCTAATTATCTCCCCAACAGACACAAACCTCATCTTTCTCACCCTCTCCGCTCCCATATTGCTCCTATCGGTGGTGATCATAATGCAGGGGCCAAGCGGGTGCACTCATCGTTGTCGTGAAAGACACGTTGCCCTAATTCCCCACTGACAAGCTGCTTTTGGGCTGATGATGTTTCAGGATGGCATGACTCAAGGGCAACTATGGGAGAAAAGAACAATTGGCACTCAAGGGAGGCATTGTGTGAAAACTTAGGTTCTTTGCAAGCCCATGGGTTAAAGCAGGCATGGCAAAGAGAATGCTAAAAAGGAGGCTATGTATCTTAGGAGCCCATCAAAAGACTTCATTAGGGCTGCAAGATAAAGGTCAACTTCAACAACAAAGAAACTTAAGTTGTAGCTTCTTATATCCCATCCGTGTATCAGGATGGGACTGAGGGAAGAGTGGGGCTTGGAAGATGAAGCAGCTCTCCTGCACAGCACAAGTCTTCCATCTGCCCAAAGCCCACGCGCTGAATACAGCTCTGTCTTCTGGCTTATGGGGAGTTTTGGTGCCAGGACAAAGTATTAAAGAAAGAATGCAGTGCTGTTTGAAACTGTAGTTTGCAAGGAGGCTTCTACTGGAAATGGTGAGCGGTATTCTTGAGGAAGTTAGATTTTGTTTTATATAGGGACAAATATTTGCATTTTGCTAAAACACGAATCTTTGATTTTTCCAGTAAGTTCTCCCACAACCCAAAGCTGATGGGAGTCCGAAATTTACTCTCCCCCACCAGTCACATTCTGCTCAGCATTTTTTCCTGTTGTTCTGGCATCTGGATTTTGTTGGTCTTTAACCCTTCCTGTGTCTTTATTCTCAGTTGAACGGAAAGCGGGTGTTTTAGCTCTTAGTGTGTGTGAGTAAGAATTTAGACTATCAGACCACCTAGGTTTGGGGAAGAATTCAAAATGTTGCTTGGCACAAACTACACTCAACCCAACAAAATGGAAATGCTGAGTGCCCCTTATTAGTTTTGCTGGTTTTATTATTTTGTTTGTAAATCCCCATATTGGACTAGGAACAAGACAAAGAGTGCAATCCTTTTCAATAAAAACTGGCATTATTTACATTTGCCTAATCTCACAGGAACTAGAAATGAATGTATTCTCAGTACATTTCTCTAGGGAAACAGTCTAAATTAATGGGAAAATTTTGCATTTTGCATTTCTGCCCGTATGTGCCTGTGTGTATAGTTAAGATACAAAATTTTATATATGGATATTCCTTCTACAAAATGTTTCATGAAGCTTCAAATACCTGACTGGAAGGTCAGAGTCCTTTGACATTTTATAGAGACTTTAGCAGTGATGGAATTGATAGAATGTGATAAAAGGCAACAACTCTGTATTTCATTCTTAAAAAGTAAGAACACAACTCTAGCTCTATTAAGGGTATCTTAAAAACTCTCATTGGCCTTTTTGTTGTGCACATTTAACTTGACTATACAGAAACTACTTCGCCATAGATTAGGTAGTCCAATATGGTTTTAGGGTTGTAAACTATAACTCCATGTTAAATTCTGAACATGACAAATCCCAATTAAACTGATAGAATTTTCTATTACTTTCATCCTGTTGTTGATGATTTTTCTTGGTTTCTTGTCTTCTATTCAGCTCTAAAAATAGTCTGTAGATATCAGTGACTTAAAGTTTTGCAAAATTAGGG